CGGGCCGGGGGGATTTGCGCGGAGCTGCGGGCAGCAGCGGGGCCGACCCGGCGCAACCTGCTGCTGAACAGGGCGCCGGTAAGAGCAACCTGCGCCGGGGCCGCGAGCAACTGCGCGGCCCCGACCCCCTTCCCAAGCCCACCCAATTTCTTCGGGAGCCACTCACGGCACGTTTCTTTTAGTCACTGAAGGCCAAATCCAGGTGCAAACAACCACAACTCAGTGAAGTCAATTTAGTCGCGGGCCGAGGTTTGCTGTTGGCGCTCCCGGCCGGTCTGGAGAGCTTAGCTGGATCCATTACATCAGTCACACTGGATTTCGTAACGTGAGACGTTTCAATGAGGGTGACTCATTCTCCCTTGAAGTGCATTGTATGTATGAGCAAAGATGATTAACTTTTGCTGAATGGCATGATTTCTGGGATGGGACCTGCTATTAATCAGCAACAGATCTCAGCTGTTCATAAACTCTGTTTTCACGGCCTACTTTGTATGTTTTTCCCCATTCTGCTAGCTTTTTTTTAGCCCGGGATAAATACTAAGGTGCGCTGCCCTGCTATCTGTCTCTAAAGCAGCCAGACACCGAGCTAAGGCGGCCGACTTTTTTAGCCGAGCGCAGCCTAGGGTTGTCGGTTCTTGCAGCTCTAGGGCAAAGCTTGAGCCACCTGCCCACAAAGCTCCACTTTCACATTGAAATCAAATCAAAGAAAATGAAAAGGGGGCGACTGCAGTGGATAAGCTAGTAAAAGGAAGTAAAAGAAGCTTAAAAGGCTCAGAATGTAAAATACAAAGAATTACCCTTCTCCAGCTCCCTGAAATACATATTTCAAAAGAAACTCAGTGGGGGGGTTGTGCTAATCTCATGCTTCTGACCCTCGAGGTTTGAGGCTTTGGAGTTAGTGGGACCTTTTGGATAAAAAGTCTCTCGAGTCCAGGGAGAAATATCCTTTCCGCTGTATTGGCTGCAAAACTGGAAAATTTGCTAGAGCAAAGATGAGACACTCAGGGGCTTCACATTCCTCCTCGGAGCATGACACCATGGTGCTTCATGAAACAACTCAGCCCTAAGAGTCTGTGGCGTCTTCAGGTAACAAAAATAGTGTGCGTGCAGAAGACAAAACAGTAAGGAGTGGGACAAAATGCTGGTCCTTCCCAACCCCGCTCTTCTTTTTTTTTCCTGGGGGGTGGGCTGCAGGGAAGAGGCTGGGGCTGGAGCTGGGGCCCCATCAGACCACCAGGGTGTTCAGGGTGTCTGGCCACCAGCTGGCGACTCTCAGCGCCCAGCAGAGCCACAGTGAGAGGCTTGATGACAGGGTCCCCTCCCAGGCTCTGCCCCACCACCTCACTGCTGCCACTTCCCCATTGCCACCAGCCTGGGAGTGCTCCGGGAGGCAGTGGGAGAACCGCACCAAGGCCTGGAGGGGAGGCTGGGGAGGCGATGCAGAGAGCCCCTCCTTCCCAGCCACGGCTCTCCCCACTTACCCTCAGCCATGGCTCTACAGCCTCCGGCGATTCCCTGACTTATCAATGCCCATTTGATATCCCCTTCAGAGCACACGCTGAGGGGGCCCCTCTTACCCCATCCCGTGGCACTGGCAGTGACGTTATACACACACAATTCTGAAGAGCCAAATGCTCCCCCCTTCTCTGGCTCAATCACTACTGCAGGCAGCAAAACTGCCCCTGCAGTAGCCAAACCATGAACAAACTCACTACCGGGTCAGAGAAGAGCTGGAGGCAAATTTCTTATCCTTGGAGAGCTGCTGGCAAAGATTCCTGGTGAGACACCACCGTGAAAGCCAACTTGGACTTCTACAAAGAGAAAGGGCAGGCCATGGCTCAGCCTGGAACTGCACCAGCAAGAGGAAGGTTCACCTGCTTTGCCCAACACTCCCACGGCCATATGCCCTAGCACTTACCATCTCTCCTCGAATGTCACGCAAGGAACTGCGGGCAGGAGTTATGCAAACAAAGGTCACTAGCTCACTGCTTTTCCCTTTTACAGGCAGGTCTTTTCCTTTGAGCTTCTGGGCACGGGATGCAGGTTTGTCCTTGCTTCAAGGTAGGCAGCAATGCAGCTGCAGCTAGTGGCAAGTACAGGCAAAGCCAGAGATATGCAGACCTTCCCTTCTTTGTAACTGAGACAAGAATAATTGCTTTTTTCAGTCAAAACTGACATGGAAGCTCTGCCTATTTCAACCCGAATGAGAGGTGAACAGCGAAACTGCCTGTGAGGCTGGCCAGCCCATAACCGCCCTCCCTCACCACCTTGTACTAATACTCCTCACTGACCCAGTCTCCCTCCTTTCAGACGAAAGGCCCTCCTCGAAGCAAGAACACGCTGGTGTGGTTGAAAAACCAAGAGGAACTTTTCTCTGCACGCTCTTTCTTGACAGCAGCCAGTGCAGAACAGGATCACCAAGATGGTGACAGAGGAGGGAAAGGGTGTCTGTAATGCAATGGTCACAGCTGGCTGAAGTTTTCCAGCAGAACATTTTTTTTCTCCCCTTTGGAAAATACCAATCAAAAGAAGCACAAACATTTCATGGAAACATGCCCCTTTTGAAGAGTCCTTGTCAGAACCCACGGCATTTTGAAAACTGGAGCACTGCAGACGTTCCCATCGGAAACCTGCCCAGATTCCTACAGTTTCCATCCCTCCTCCCAGAAAGCAGTCTGAGCCACTGTCTGCAGGTCCCCACATCAGATCCCTGTACTCCATGGCACTGCTGAGCTGTCCCAGGACTCCCCAGAGCTCCTGCCCTCCAGGGTAGTGATTTGCTTGTTCTCCTCCTCTCCTGCAGCCTGAGCTGGCTGCCCTGCCACTAGGCAGCTTATGGAGACAACCTGCCTTCCTTGGGCTGCCTGGCAAGTCCAGGTAGTTCCTCTCCAGTTAGGGCTCTGTGACCAGGCTGGTGGCAGGAAACCTGGAAGCACCTGTTGTCCAAGCTTGACCATTACTACCACAGCTTCCAGGCTTGCTGCCAAGAAGCTGGGAGGTTTTGGAGCATTAAAAGCCTTCTCCCTTCAGACTCAGTGGAGAGGCTACGGCTAGTTTCTTTCGAGCTCACTCGAGGACATCATTTCTAGTGCACAACAATCCAACCATGAATATCTTTGAGATAGAGCGTTTATCTAGAGGTAGGAAAAACCTACAGCTTGCCTAACGTAGGACCAGTTGCACTAGTGAAACAAGCCCAGCAGATAGACAGACTTCCCTGCGTTTCAGGCATAAGCCTGGAAGACGTGAGCCTCTGCCCTAACTCCGGGTGCGCAGCAAAAGCTGAGCCATGCAGCCCAAAGAGTTTCCTTGGAGACTGACGCAGAAGGGGATTTTCCTCCAGAGCCTCTCTCTCTCTCTTCCTTAACAGGCTAAGGAACACCCCTAAAACCCATCTCTACCAAAAGACCTGGTAACGCTCCACCTTGACGTTAGAGGAAGCCGCAGCGTTGGGAGCGTTTCAGGGTGGCTTTCTTCCCCACATAGCTATTTTCCTGCTGTGCAGCTCGCTTGCTCTTCTAAAAATGTATGACAGAGCAACTGTCTCTAAGGCAATTTCCATAACAATGGGTGCATAAGAACAATCTATGCTGCTATTATGCCTTGCTTGCTCACACACACACACAAAGAGAAATGGGCACGCTGCAATTTCAGCAGTGAAGTGCCTGTGCGAGTTAGAAAAAAGACTATTTAACCAGTCTGTTCCCAATTGCTGTTGGAAAACTACCCCAGGGACCTGCTCTCCCCGATTCGGCCAAAGGGCGCAGGCTGGAGGCTGCAATGCCCCCCAGGCTCTCCCCCGCACAGCCCCTGGGAGGCGACCCAGTCCCCAGACCGTTTGAGCCTACACGCGTAACAACATACAACACCAAAGGGAAAAAAACAGAAAACGCTTCCAGATCTTCTCCACTAAAGCAATCAGTGCCCCAGCAGGGAGATATCAGATAGGCAGGGATGGATCTGGAGGCAAGGTCAGGTCTGGGCTTTATCAGCCTTCCCGGTCCCAAATTGTGCAGGTAGGGATGCAGGAGCTCAGAACGGCGTAGAGCAGCTGGTGGGAGACGGGTTCAGTGCCAGAGAGCCCTGGGGGGAGACAGACCCAGTACTCTGCAGCTTTCGTGCCCCGCCGCACGCCCTGCGGCGTGCCCTGCGAGGGGAAGGAGCTTTGGGAAGGACGAAGGGCGAGCCGGGAGGCGTCAGGCATCCCGTAGCTCGCTGACAAAGCTTGCATTTTTCCATTATGCCCGTGCACCTAGCCAGGGCACCTGTGGCCATCTCAGCTTTCGGCTCAGATCGGTAAGAAGGCAGCAGCCCACACCGCTTCAGACAAAAGCTTGAATAAGCAGACTCTAGGCCCCAGTTTTTGGAAAGCCGTGCGTTATAGAAATCCCCCAAAGCATCTAGAAATCCCCTACTAGAACTCACAAATCTGGGTGCCCAGCCTTAGCAAAAACTTCCCAAGTTTCTTCCTTTCCAAAATCTTTTCCTGTTGACCTACTAAAATTAACATCCAGCTACTGCCTCTGTTTTTAATCACTCGCATCCTGCAATTATGGCTTTGTTTGAATTTGTGCGGAGCTGAACCTGTTGTCAGACATACACCAATTTGTATGTTTCTAATTATTTGTTTCCATCTTAAAACCTGTTTTTCAGCAGATTGCAGCTTTATTTTAATACACGTTTGGCTAGAACTTGATATACTAGTTGCCAGCAACTTAGACACAAATGGGCTTGAATTGCACAGGGGGAGCAGAGGGAGAAATGAAACTGAGTCAAACTGAATTAAAGGCCTGTTTATAAAAATGAATTAGGCAAGACCATGAAACAAACAGTGGTTTCGCATCTCAGAAGATTCCGTTTTTATAATCCTCTGCTTCTACCCCTTGAAATAAAATTATCTCAGAACGCACATTTTGGGAGCGAAAGAGGCTCTGAGGCATGGCCGGGCCAGGCTCGCAAAGGGCACTTGAAACACTTCTTTACATCTCAAGACTTCAGCCATCTCCGTTGCCTATGATTAAAGCTCTTAACCTCCTATATAATCTGTTTTTACTCGCATGGTCAGCATTAAGAACTAGCTCAGGACTGGGTAACCAAACCAAGATCAGCTTCCGCCTGTTTTCCAAGGATGCAAACGTAGCAGCTCAGGCACTGTGCTCGGTCTCTTCATCCGAGTAACTAGCAACCTCTCTTCATCCTGAGGTTCTAGCAACAGCACCTTATTTTTCCAGAAGTAAGCTGGGCACTTCGTTTCTCAGTAATCTTCACACGGGTCTTCATGGGATAGAAGAGGCAGCTGAACGCAAACTTTTACGCGTTATCCCCAGGCACCTAGCAGTGCTGTAACATGCTGTACTGAGTTGCTTTCCTTCTTTTCTCTTCCCCCTTTTTTTTTCTCTGTAGCTATTTCCCCTGTGCTAAAGGATTCTGGAGTCTCTGATCTAAAATGCAGATCAGAGAGACTGACTCGGAGACAATTAAACCAAGCAAAAAAACATACGTTATTTGCTGGCAAGTGCTGACTTTTTAGCGGGGGCCACTTTCTGCATAATGCATAGATCCAGCTGCAAATCTCTGCCGGGAGCCAGCCTGCTCCGCGAGAGCGCTGTGATGCCTGCAGCAGGCTGGAGAGAGCCTCCCCCAACTCCCGAGTAGGACCTTGGATCAACCGAAGCTGAAACAGCTACAGAAGAGTCCAGGCCAGATTTTACACACGCTCCCGGGGCCTGAGGGAGGCCAGACACTGCGAGTTTGCTAAGAGCCACGCAGATGTCCGATAGCGATGCTGTTCCTTGCATTAACACTGAGAGTGGGTGAGGTCATCCAGACTCCTGGTGATCTGGGTCTCAGCTTGCAGGGGAGGATGCTGAACAGCAGCAACCGTTCAGAAAGTTGCTACCCCTTTGCCTTTTCTCATGCGTTTGACCTCCACCTCTTGGCTTCTTCAGGTCCTGGCCATGCCGCCTGTTCTTCCCCATCCTTCATTCACACGGCCCTTCCCTCACTGCTGTTGGTCAGACAAGTTAACTACCCAGTATTTCTTTGCTAAATTCTTCCCTGCTCAGCCATGTCACACCACCTAACTGGATGGCTATGAGAAAGCATTTGTTTAAGCGGCCGTCTTGAGCCTGTAAGGACATGAGGCTCCAACGTGTGGCTTCACATTCAAGTCAGTATTTTTTTCTTGCACAGGAGCAGGGAAGACTAACCCACCCCACAACTGGGCAGCTTAAGAGACTCATGCCACGAAAGCCGCCTCGTGAACAAGATGCTGGGTGGATGCAAAAGAGAAGGGAAGGGATGGGTCAGTGGAGGACCCCAAAACTCCTGCGCTGCAGACTAGCGTAGTACCCACCAGCCACTCTGTGGGGCGCTGCCCTGTTACGTCAAGGTGAGAGGAGGCCAACACGTGTAGTGAGACGTCCTAGGAACTAACTTGATCCTTAGTCTAGTCCCGACTTCCACATCTCCTTTATGATGGCTGCAGCAATGACAGCAAACCAAATGAGAGCACTTGGGTAGGCTAGCCCTCCGCTCATCCTTTCCTCTCCCTAAAAACCACCTACGCATCCCTAACATAGCGCCCTTCAGAAGGGCCGAAGCTAACAGGAGAGGCGAGTGCTAGATGCGTTTAACAGCAAAGAATGAACCGAAGACAGCTCTGCAGCCATTCCTTCTAAATATAGACGAAACCGCTGTTTACATATTTCCAGGCTTGCTCTCTGCACCCTGATGACTTCTGGCAGAGGCAGCAGGCTGGAGGTGTGAGCTGGAATGAAACGGGCTCTGTTCTGATTGTAGGACTGTCCCAATTCATTAGTGCATTGGAGAGCTAAGTGTAAGGTGATGCGTTTGTTAGCTTTGGCCCTGGGCACACACCTCCCTGGGTCTCGCTGTTAACTGGGAGCCTGGATCCAAGCACACCCACACAGAGGGAGTTACAGGGACACTAATAGCTGAAGCTGAGGAAAGTCTAATCTCTGTAAGGGGAAACGCATACAACCAAGCAGAGCCTGGAGAGGCTTCCCAAACACCACAGCCTCCTCTTGGCCAAGACAATGCAGGGGCAAAGGCAAAACAGCAACCAGAGCTTGAGACAGACTTACAGCTGAAACGAGCTGTTGAGTTTGGGTCCTGCTTCAGCTAGTCCTCAAAGCTCTGTCACTCAAATCGGCAGGCCTGCGGGCCAGGCTTGGGACTGATGTGCTGGCATGAAACCATGCGCACGCTTTTCAAGCAAAGCGGCAGTATGTCCTGCGGAGCGGAGATGGAAGAGTGAGCAGGACCTCCGAGAAGGGAGAGAGGCTGGTGCTCACGGCTGAACGGGGCTGGAGAGCAGGAGGGAACCTCTCCGCTCCCGCTGCCCTGCAAGCCCCGCTCACCACCATCCCCAGCGCTGGGGCAGGGAGCGGGTGAAAGATGAAGAGCAAGGACGGGGGCGGGAGGAGACAGGGCGTACAGTGGGAAGATCAGACACAGAGCAGCAAGGCAGAGGCTGTTCCCCTCTTCTCGGTCCTTGGCCCTCTGGGGTCCAGCCTACCCCTTGACAGGCAGGGATGCCACAGACTGGCAGAGACACCCCGAGCTAAACCCCACGCCAGCGGCACAGGAACGATGCGGGGCTCAGAGGGACACAGCCAGCGAGGTTCGGAGTCGTCTCTCTTGCTGAGTGCCGCACACATCAGCACGCGCAAGATGAGCGTTGCACTGTGGCATCAACTCCCAGCAGCGCCTAGAGGTGCAGCAAACTCTTTTCGCCTACATTCAAAGGGCCCCAGGATGAAGCAGACGTTACGAACGCACCAGCGCCAGCTCCTCCCTTCACACAGCCTGTGCAGAGCACCCTCCCTCGCTGCCGGCCCTGCCAGGAGCGCCGATAGCTCCAGCGCTGCAGAATCGCTTTTGCTGCTGGATCTGTGAGCTCTTTGCAAGTGCAGGGAAGTGTCATCTCCCCCCCCACCCTATCCCAACCCCTTCTTTTTACACGTGAGGCAAGCCAGCAAAAGGCGGTGTGCAAAGCCCACAGCAGCCCACAGCAGGAGCCCCAGCCTCCTGGATGGTCCCGTGGTGGGCTCTCGTGGGATCACCCACGCAGCCCCCGACCCGTGTGATCGCGGCTGATGAGCGGCTTCTGCTCTGCTCTCTGCCAGAGCAGCCCACGAAGTGCTTGCAGGTAGCTCATCTCCAAACACTGGCTGAAGGTAATGCACCTAATTCATCACCCCTCACCACCTCTAAACTTCTGGAGCGTGGAACAAGAAGCCAGGCTAGAGCAGTTTAGCACCTGAGGACCCCAGTCCAACTTAAAACTTCTGTTTCCCAAATCCAGGAGCTCTTAATGCCCTGCCACCGCTACAGGCATGCCAGCAAGACGAATCCACCAGAAGAGAACAGCCTAAAAGCGAAACAACTCCCTCCCTGTGGCTACAAGCCATTGCTGTTGAGTGGTAACATTAGACAGGAAAAAATCCCAAATTCACACCAAAAATCATTGTTTTCACAAAGAGGAGTTTGCAAGTTCCCCTGTGGGACAACATGTTCCTCAGCCCGAGGAAGAGAGCTGTCTGCTCCTGCTCCATCTCCTCCTGAGAGGTAGCCAGACCTGCCCCGGACATCCAGCCAGCCCTGCTGTGGAAGAGGTCAAGACCAGGCGAATGTGCACGTGCGCCTGGGGGCCGCCTGGGCCCGAGCCCCCCGGCCTGCCGCAGCTGCCTGCTCTGCCTCGCTGCTCCCAGGGCTGTGCAAGAGCCTCTCCCTTGGCTTCCTGTCCCTGGTTGCCTGCCTCTCGCCGGGAGCAAGAAAGCCCAAGAGGAGCATCCCCTGTCTAGAAAGCTTTTACCCTCGCAGCCAAAGGGGGTGTGGATTTCCCTCCAGGCTTCACTGAGAGCAGAAACTACGCCATGAGACTGCGATGCGTGTCCGACAGCGCGTTATTTCTGACGCAGCACAGCCCTGTCCGGGCTCCGGCGCCCTCAGTAGTCAGCCACAGAAATGGGAGGCAGAATTAAATTCTTGTTCAGCCCTTTCCAGCGGTGAACGCGTTCCAAGGAAACCCTAATTGCTTTGCTGACTTGTTGTCAGCAGACAGAGGGGTCAGACAACTTGTTTGAAGTGACCCGCTGGGTGTGAACACGCACCTCTCAGAAGAGAGCACTAGAGGCAAACGGCCTTTCTGTACAAACGAATGGCCTGGGACTTCAGAGT